CATGTCAGCACATGGCGATGACGACTCCGACTGCGACGACGATGGTGGCAAGCAGCAGATCAACTTCATTCACAATTAAGCTAAAAATACAAGCCCCCCAGGTTCGCAGAATAAAATTTATTGTCAAGTGCAGAGTCACAACATTTTCAAGATGTGTAACAGTCACAGTCACAGTCGCAACCGAAATAATTGAGCAGCAGGGAGGCGCAGAAGTCTGGTTCAGGTCTAGGTGTAACAAAGGAGAAAAACTCTGGGAAACTCTGGCCCTGGAAAATGGGGGATGTGGCTGTGGATGTGGATGGGTGGAGTCAGGCTGTCGCTCACAGCAGAAGGAGGACGGGCAAATCAACAACGCAATCTTAATGAAGGCAATAATTCAAACAAAATGCAAAATTCCCTCAACAAACTGAAAGGAAGTCGCTGCGCGAGTCACTCACTTCACTTCACTTCTTCTTCAGAGACAGAAGCATTGAAAAATTGCCGCCTGAGAGAGAATTCCTTGTTGAAATTAAATTTTTACAAAATCAAATAAAATCCAGCGTGTGGCAGTCACTCACTCGCTCGGTATTCCCTCGATGGCGTTGTTGTTGTTTCTCTTATTAATTAGTTTGTATATTTTTGGCATACGAAATACAACACAAAATTGTTTAACATTTTAGCCCCGTCTGCTGCCAGCAAACACACACACATTAAGTGGCAACATTTGTCAATTTGTTTTTGGGCTGTAATTTCGGGGCCCGTCGGAGGGTCAACCTCTCGGACTGGGACTTGGGTGTAGTTAATGGCCGAACATTTGCCTAAATAATGAGCCACCGGTGTATTGCTTTGAATTCGATTTCGCTTGATTAAAAATATATTTCATTGTCGGGGACCGTTGCCAGTCCAGAAAAAGTGGGTCGTTGTCGTTGTCAGTGGGTGGATCGTTGCTTGTTGCAGCTGAGAAGCTAATCAGGCAAATGTGGCACACTTTTCGGTAAGGTGAATTCATTAGCCTCCGAGTCCGGCTTAGTTTTTGGGGGGCGCAGGACAAATGAGTGTAATCGTCAGCCAGATGGCATTGAGTGATGCCTCTTGGTGTGGGAGAGAATCTGGGGAGAAATACATTGGTATATTCCGGAAATTTTTAAATGTTTCGAAAGCTAATTAGATTCTTCTATGGCTGTATGTTTTATGCTTTAGGGAAATAAATTGAAAATGTCTATCTTAAGTCTTAAAGTTCTTCAGCATAGGATACAGATCAGAAAATGATGGCTTCCTTCCAAAGATCTCTCACGCTTTAACTTCTTGTGTGTTTTTGCAACATGTTCCCAGCAACATTTGGCAATATTTTCAACTGCCTTCCGCTCTGTTTAATTTAAGATTTTCATAAATTTGAGCACTTTCTATAACTTTCCTACTTTTTATTCTAGTAATTAAAATTCTTGTAAATGTTTTTATATCTTAACTTAGATAGCAACATATAACCTTCCTTCCTTCATAATTAAAATATATAAGTTTCAACCTCATCAATTTCTATTGTTTAAGGTATATTTTTCCTTGAACTTTTACGAGGCGAATCCAATCCGCTTCAGTATTTGCTCAAATCTAGCTTGCTGCATAATTAAAAGTGAAAAAAATAAGGAAAATGAAAACTCTCGCCTATTTCCTGTCCAACCTCCCCCCATCAACTGCAATGCAATTTTCACTTTTTTTTCCGTGTCCGTGTCGTCGCCGCTCTGTTTTCTCATTTTGTTCAAATAGCCTCAAGGCGGCGGTGGCCGGGCAAACTTTCGAAATTTAACGCCGGGCACAATGGGGCACCAGGAATTGCCGTACCGGGCCAGGACAGGACGAGCCAGGACGGGCTGCCAGCCGCAGCAGTGGCGGAGAACAATTACGGGGAGTTGGTACCCCGGTTTTTCGGTCTTATGCAAACAGGAAACGTATAATGAACAAAGTCCGAAAGGCAGAGTCACTTGCTCACTCGCCGGGAGTTTGCGGCTGTGCCGGAGAGCACGCGACGTGGCACTCTAGACTGCGGACTTGGGATTCCTCCTGTCCTGCTCCCTGGCATTCATCCATTCATTTTTGAGCGGTTTCGTGGTTAACAACCGCTTCCTTATCCTTATTATTTTAATGCCTGCGGCAGCATTCCATCTTACTTACATTTTTCTCTCCTTCTCGACGCTGTCGCTGTCGCTGACGCTGTTGTGGCTTAAATATTTTAACTACCGCCAGCTACTAGTTGGCCGCCGTCGTCCGTCGTCCGTCTGTCTGGGCCAGGTCTTTGTGCCCATAATTGGGGTTAACTGCGTTCAGCAGGTGAGGAAGCTCTGCTCCGATCCGGTCTGCATTGTGTGCTAAAGTGTGCCAAAAGGAAGAGTATACTCTCTGCTGTCGTCCGTGCTGGAGTTTCATTTCAGTGTTCTTTCTACTACTATTTTTTGTTGTCTTTTTTGCTAGCCTCTGGCTTTGGGGCCAGCAATTAACTGCAATTGAAAGTGAAATTGAATTTGAATTTGCATCCGAGTTGCCGGAATAGATGATGTGTGTGTGTGTGCTTTTGACATTGGCCTGCCAAACACGGACAGGTGACAGAGTGTCAGAGTTGACACGCATGTTGAGAAAATTCAATTAAAATTTGTTGTGCTGCACTCCTCTTTGGACGACGACTCCTTTTTATTTCTGCTCGCCGGCTCATCGCCGATTCAGTTGATAATTATTTTTACGCGCCGGGTTGCAGGGGTAAAGTGCATTAAAAATGCAAATGGCAACACTTTGCCACTTTGATGCCAGCGTTGCCAGTGTTGTCACGTTTGCCGTTTTATTAATTTATTAAATTAAAAAACAAGGCAAAAGGCGGCAGCAGCAGGACCACGCCGGCAACTCCACTCTGGCATGTGTAATTGTAAATTTATGAGCGTGCCACAAATAAAAAGGAGGCCCAGTACAGTAAAGTAAAGCAAAAATAACGGAGAATCCACACAGGCAGGCATGGGCAACACGAGTTCAACTGGGGCGCACTGTCAATCGTGTTGCATGAATTATTAATTATTTGCTTTTCGCACACACACGCAGGGAGATACTACAAGGGGGGGAAAAAAGATGTGTTGCAATGCGGCAATCGGCTGTCAGCTCTCCGCCACTTTGACAAGGGAAATACTAATAAAATTACTAACCAAAAATGGCCAAAAAGGCATTCGATTCGTTGCCTCACTGATTGCCAATAAAGAACAGCTACCGAAATTAGTCTAATCTAATTACCTGTCACGCTTTATTGTCTTTAGCATAACGAAATGGATTTTTGGAAAACAAAAAGTCAATGCCTACGCATTATTCCATTTCAAAAAAGGAAAAAAATTTGGGGGTAAAAATGAGAGTTGAGATGAGATGAGTACTTTTTAGGTGGGTAGGTAATGTGAGAGGCCAACCCCGAGGCGGATTCGGTATTCAGGACTCTGCTCTACCCCCGATGCCTTATTTATCCTGCGTTTTCCCTCGGGGGACACACAGACCATGGCATTTTCCTCGACTTTTTCTCTCTTTCTGTGAATTATTCAGGCCTCAATCGATGGCTGGCCAAGGATCTTCCTCATTGCATGCTGTACCCACACTCACTTTATATGTACGTATCCCTCAGTGCTGCTGACAGTTTATTTGCCAAATTGCTTGCATGTAATATGAAACTTTTTTCTGTTTCGAGGCTAATTTTTAGTTAAGGAAAGAAACGGACAGAAAAAAATGTGTGTGTCTGGGTGTGTGCTAAATCGAAAATCTGAAACACGCGTCACACGGCATTAAATGAGGAGGCAGGATCAGGAGGCAAAGAGGGGTTAGTTCACTAATACGGCATGACTCAACCGTTTTCCACGTAGAGTTGAATGCCAGAGCAAAGCTGTCTGTGTGTAGCCATATCTTTATTCCTGACTAAATGCACTAGGAAAAATTATAATGTATAATAGATATATTTTAAGACAATTTAATGGTCTGGAAATTATACTTGTATTCTTATTTGGATTGATAAGTGCACACTGATGAGTTTGAGATTTGCTAGTTGAGTCTTTCGAGGTAGCTTGAACCTTATACAATAAGAAATCACTTTTTATTTAAAAATACATATATAGCTTATAATTTATACATTTTCCAAACTTTCTCCCAGTGCCTTGTGTCCCAACCCCTTTGGTCCACAATCTGACCATAATTCATGAAACATTTTAAATTTGAAAATCTGTCCGTGGAGGGAAAGGGAATAATCGGGGAGAGCTCAGTTATTGTTGCGTTATAAATCTAATTAGAATATGGATGTGTGCGTTCGGGGGCCCGTATCTGAATATGCACGTAGACTAAACCAATTCCAAACCCCCTACCCTACGCCACTGGGCTCATTTCATATGCTCACCGCATCTGGCCGCATCTGAAAATTGCCAATGGCGCCGTTGCGTCTGGGGCAATAAATTTGATTTGTTTCAAATTACAGTAGAACGCAACGCGAAAAATTGTATTTTCTCCTTCTTTCATTTATATTTTGGGTGCATTTTTCTGGGGCTGAGCCGGCAAATCGAATTGAATCTGTGGAATCCTTGACTGAGCTGCGGTTGCTCTTTGTGGGCAATTTTCATAATTTACATAAGCAAATCAAATTGTAAGCGTAATTCGAAGACAAAGGCAGTCTGAGCCGCTGGCTTAGAATGGAACTATGTTGAGTGGATGGCGTAGATTTCTCGGTGCCTTTATTTTCCAGCTCGCACTTGTTTTTAAGAGAAATTGTGTCAGCTTTTTGCGAAAGCATTTCTTCGCTCCAGCGTCCTTTGTTCCCGTCAATGCGCCAAATGAATTTGGCTCAAGTGGTGTGTGGAGCCTGTGAAAGGGATAGGATTGCCGCCTACCAAAGTGTGAATCCTGAAACTTGGAAGCCTTTGAAGTGTGAAGTGAAGTGAAAGTGTTCAATATGTGTTGCACTAGTTTGTTTCCAACACTGCACACAGCACAATCGTTTAGCAACACTGCATCGGTCATTTTCAGACTTTGACAGGCCCCATTTTTTTTCACGCATGTGTGTTTCGTGGATTATTCCTAGTAATAATTGTGTAAAATTTCTGTACATATTGTGAGAGAAAACCGGACTCGATCCGAGTGCATTTTAGAAACCTTAAACGAACCGAAACAAATCCCCGACACGAACATTAGCAGGAGCCACGAAACAGGAGCAGCAGAAGCAAATATATAGAATATTTTTTCGAAAGAGTGTGGTGCATGTGTGTGTCGGATCCCCAGGAGGAGACACTATGATGTGGACTTGGGAAACTTCAGTTTGAGGCAGACTACAATCAAAACTATAGAACCCAGTCGGGTTTCCAACAAACTTCATTTCGGATAAAAATATATATAGTCTGGGTCCGTATCAGGCGTTCGGTTTGCCGTCAAGCCTTTTGCTTAAAGTGACAGACAGAGGTACCGAACACACACCATATTCTTTAGCAGTCTGTGTGTACGTACGCACATATATCTGGATATATGTCGTTTGGATCGTGACGAGGCCGCATCGGTAGCAATGTCCACTGCCTTGGCAGCGGCAACGGCAATGGCAGCGGCATCCTCGAGTGCCGCACCAGCAGCAACGACCGTCAGCAACACCACAAACACCACGAACACCACCGTAGTCACAGCCACAGCGTCGCCGGCAACAAACAGCAACACCACAACCACCACAATTACTACCACCCATACAACCAAGTCTACAATTACGGCCGGAACCCTTGAGCCAGCCGGAGGGATTGTAGCGGAATCGCAGGAGTATCAATCGGTGCAAGTGGCTCCGGATCAGGAGCACAGCCAGCTAATATCGAATAGTGCACCGAAGCCACGGCGCCAGCGTAGGACCACAGTGGTCCACACATGTCCCAGGCCACCGGGTGGCTACAGGTATTCCATGGAGTTTCTTTACGGGATCGGCAGTTGCATGGCCGGCACCACTTTGAATATTGCCACGCCTCTATCGATAACGCCGCGCAGTGTGAGGACCACGCCTCCCTCGCTGACCACTCGCATGCCCCTGCTGGCCACAATGGGAATGCCAGCCTCGGCTTCACCCCGTCCCATCGACGGTAACCTGTCGCGGAATCGTTACGCCATTGGCGTTATGGGGACGGGATCTCCAGGAGGAGGACTCACTACAGTGACAACGGTGCCAGCATCATCGCCAACGACGACCTCTGTCACTGCCACACCCGGCTCCTCACCCGGGTCGCCTGCTTCGGGTGTCCTAGCGACAGGATCCCCCAACAGCCTGCCATCGCCTCAATTCATATACCAGGGATACCTGCCCAATGGACCACAGCGACGCCTGTGGCATGCTGAGAACGCATTCTGGCAGTTTGATCGGAACTATCCCTACAATCAGGGCTATGCCTCACAATACGGCATACCCATGATGCCGGTGGGATTCGAACATCCGTATGGCAGTCAGCGGATCATATATCCTGGCTACTATAGCCAGCCTTCCGGGCCTTTCCATGCTGCTCCAGTATCGGGAATGCCGAGAGTCAATCGCCATGTGACCTCCAATTCTCAGCAGCAAACGCAACAGCAGCAGCAACAGCAGCAGCAGCAGCAGCAACAACAGCAGCAACAACCGCAGCAGCAGCAACAACAGCAGCAACATCAGCAGCAGCAACCGCAGCAGCAGCAACAGCAGCAGCCGCAGCAGCATCCACCGGCACAGCCTCCGCCGGCACAGCCGTCGCATTCCCAGCAGCCACATCCGGTGGCCCAGCAGCCGACGACAGTGGTGAGTGGTGAAACCACTGAAGAATCAATTCCATCTCCGAGCACCACGTGGCGCCATGTAGGCCCACCCGGAGGACAGCGCGAGCGCTTGGGGTCTGGACGACAGGCGTCGACTCCACAGGGCCCGATGGACTTTCACAGGGAATCAAAGTCATACTATAAGAGTGTCACGACCGGTGTTGGTGGTGGATCTCGCTACAAAGCACCCTTTGACCATCAAGCAAGTGGTAATGCAAGGAACTATCTAGGAGGAGGACCTGCAACAGTCGGTGCTGCATCAACGACAGCACCACCGGTAGTTGCAGCACCACCGGCTTCCGCATCGGCAGCGGCAGCGGCACCGACACCCACTGGATCCAGAGATCAGAATCCATCGAATGGCAACCAGAGTCGGATGTGTCAAGGACCCGGCAACAATCCGTATGCCAAGAGTCGTAACCAAGGAAAGAGAGGCAACAAGAATATGCAGGGTAAGGAGCGCACTTCAAACTCATCCGGGTCATTGTCCGCTTCCTCCTCGAAATCCCACCTGGAGAGGCCTGCCAGTTCGAATACCTCCATACCGCCCCCGCAGAAGCATCCGAATCGTAGCTACCGCAACCGAATTCGTTACCTCAATGCCAATGAGTCGTCGGAGCGGAAACCGATGCCCATGGGCGTGGCGGTGCCTGTTTCGACCACTTTTCAACAGCAGCCACAGCCGTCCAACATGCGCAGAGTTGGTAAGTTCCAGGGACCAAATGCCTATCATGGAAATGTGGTGGAGAGTGGTAAGCCAGTGGTCAACCGGCATCAACGATACTACCAATCGCGAAACTGTGATACCTATGTCTACCAGCCCGGACAATATATGGTTTACGCAGCAGGAGCCGCGCCGCCGATGGGACTCGGTGGAATGCTGCACCCGGGACAAGGGTGCCCCGGCATGGCAATGGGCGTAGGTGGAGGAGCTAGGAATGCAGGTAGTTCCAGTGCAAGGGGAAGTGGAGGTGTTGGAGGAGGTGGAGCAGGTGGAGCAGGAGCTACGGCCACGACCAGCAGCGCCACCTCGGAGGGAGAGCAGCCGCTGGACTCGGACTTTGATCAGCGCCAAGATTATGCTGACTTGGGTCTGGATCCAGGCAATGGCAGCTTCTCCTCCGACCTGGAGCCGCTTAGTTACAAGCAGGACACCTCGGAAATGGACGCGCATTCGTGTCTTCTATCCCATCCCTGTTCCGACATCGAGCCCACGGATGGCCAGTCGATTGGCAGTGCGGCCATCAGTATGGCGACCAGCCAGGACAGCGATGCCACCGAAAGCGACCTGAGCGGTGCATCTGTGGAGTCGGTGGTGCGCAAGGTAATGGTCGGTTGCCTGGCCTTTGCCACCGGCGCTGAGGTGCCCGATCTCAATGGTCCGAACCTGGTGCCCTACGGCGACATGCATCACCTCATGGAGCTGGAGTTTCATGCATCCATAACTAATGGCTATAGGACCGCCATGCTTCATCCAGCTCATAACCCGATGATCCATCAACGTGTGCATGGCATGAGCTGCGGCGACATGTTGAGCCACTCCGCGGAGGATATGGGATACAAGTTGGAGAAGGACCACCACCAGCAGCAGCAGCAGAAGCAGCAAGAGGATGGCAATGATGAAGGAAAGCGCCGGTACGAGGAGACCGATTACATCTCAATGGAATCTAACCAAGCTGTCAGTCCATCCGCCTCGTCCAGCAAGAGTGCCGAAGCCCCGGTGTCCGCAAGGGCCAATATCATCATGGTAGGTCATCATCCTGTTAAGTTTCTAAACCTTTGCAGAGGATTCCCTAGAAGCATTGCATCTGCAAAGGTCATTAGAAATAATTTACTTGTTTTTTGTTTGTAAATCGAAAATTTTCGTCCTAAGCCAAAAGAAACTCTAGAGGATGGACTACTCCACCACGATATGCACAATCGCTACTGGCGCGAGTTCTTTGGTTATACGCCAGCGGACCGTTTCCTGCTCCGGACCAAGCTGGTGGAAATGAAGCGTCCACCAAACACAGTGCCTAGTAGTTCCAAATGGGATCCTCTGTCCCTGTCCATATGGAGGAAGTTTCTGGAAGCTCAGCAGACCCGTCATATTTACAAGACTAAGATGCGACTATGGCGATTCATTTATACAGTGGCCATGGTGAGTTGGGATAATGTTAGGGACAAGTCATATTTCGAGCGCACTTTCCTCCAACTCCATCATCGATCCGCAGACAAACTATCCTAGGTACGGCTTGTATCTGGTGGGTTCCTCGATCTCCCACTTTGGTTCCAAATTCTCGGACATGGACATATGCATGCTGGCCTGCACAAATCCGAACATTGATCCAAGAATGGAGGCCGTGTATCACCTCCAACTGATGAGGGAGCTGCTCAGCCGCACGAACGAGTTCCAGGACTTCAATCTGATCGAGGCCCGGGTGCCCATCCTGCGATTCACCGATTGCCGCCACAAAGTGGAGGTCGATATCAACTTTAACAATTCCGTTGGCATCCGGAATACCCATCTCCTGTACTGCTATTCCCAGCTGGAGTGGCGAGTGCGTCCAATGGCCTTGGCTGTGAAGCAGTGGGCGCAGTACCACGACATCAACAATGCCAAGAACATGACCATTTCCAGTTACTCGCTGATGCTGATGGTCATTCATTACCTGCAGGCCGGAGCTAGTCCGCCGGTTCTGCCATGCCTGCACAAAATGTATCCGGAGAAGTTTGGCCTCCTGCTGCCCAGTGACTTTGGTTACGTGGATATGAACGAGGTTATGGGTCCGTATCCCTCGGACAATACCCAGTCCCTGGGGGATCTCCTGGTCGGATTCCTGCACTACTACAGTGTGTTCGAGTACGGCAAGTATGCCATATCGATACGCGTGGGCGGCGTCTTGCCCGTGGAAGTGTGCCGGGCATCGAAGGCACCCAAGAACGACATTCATCAGTGGAATGAGCTTTGCATCGAGGAACCCTTCGACCAGACCAACACGGCCAGGTCCGTGTACGATTCGACCACGTTCGAGCGCATCAGGGCCATTTTCCAGGCCAGCTACCGGAGGCTGGAATCCACGAGGAGTCTCAGCTCCATTTTCGAGGACTACGATGGTCCCACCATTGTGATGCAGCAGCCTTCCGGGGATTCGGAGTGCGATTTCTACGAAGGCCAGCAGCAGCAGCAGCAGCTTCATCATCAGCAGCATCATAGGTCGGTTTTTCGCTCTAATAGTGATTTTCCCTCGCCGCGTCCCTTCAAGCTGATGGTGGACAAGGCCACCACTGCCATTTGGACTGATATTAACATGAAGACGGAGCAAAAGGAGCCGGAGGAGCACCAGTCCAGGGAGATGGGAGTAGAAGATGACTCTGTGGCCACCGAGCCACCGCTTGCTTAAAAAAACTCCCACCTCCACCTCGTAATACAAAAATCAACAACAAACAAAAAAAAAAACACAAAACATAAAAAGTTCACACCACACTCAAAAAAACGAGTCAAAACAAAACAAACATTTAAACCCCATCAGGACGTAAAAAAAAATTGAGACGTTGTGAAAGTAAGTTTTTTAGTAGCAGTTGCCGGACGCGTTTACACCAATTTAAATTTGACGTTGGATAATTATATATGCCTAGGGAATTTAGTGAAATGACCAAATAAAAATTCACAAAGGCAATGCAAAGTCGGTCGCAAAAAAAGCACTAAAATCGGCAAAATGGCAAAGAAATATTTTCACCTCGAATCAAAACGAACAAAACTAGTTTCTACCACCTTCAAAAGCAATCAAATTGCTTAAAAATCCTGAAAAAATTAAATTAAAATTAAAATCCCAAAAAATGTATATAAAAATTATAAAATTGCAAAAAAAAATAAGGCAGCACTAGCGATAGTTTAGTAAAAACTTGTGAGGCAGGGCAAGATAATCAGAATAATGCAGGGAAATAGGCTTTTATAGCTCGAAAGGTTTACACTTTTCTACCTGCACAAAAAAATAAACAAAACCAAAAACACCACTACAAAATAAATAATATGAAAATCCACGAAAAAAAAAACACTAAAACCAACAAAATGCTACATAAAAAATACACAAGACATTTTGTAACAAAATAAATGTAAAAATCGCGCTAAACATCTTCACAAAAAACGCTTACGAGTAACAATTGAGTTGTAAAGCTCAAGTCAGAACTTTAAATAATGTTTGATGATAGCGCCAAAAAAATGATATAAAAATAATAAAAACTTACACCTCAAAGGGGTTTCTTACGGGAAGACGGGACGGTTTTACAATTTAGTGATATAGGAACTTGGTGCTAAAGTAAATGAGTTCGCATTATTTATTTTATTTATTTATCAATATTAAATCTAATATTAAACATCATCGTTTCGTCGCAGTATTTAATTAGTAAAGTAGGTTTAATTGCAAAAAACTTGTATATTGTAATAAGAATTTAATTGTCAGAGGAAACCCAGTTCCATTGAATTAACTAGGTAATAATTACTTGAAATATTCAGTGCATATGTATGCATACATCAACCAATGAAATCATCCATCATCGAGCCATTAGATGGTGGTCTTCATTTCAACATTAGAACTTGGACCCGGACCCGGACCCGGGACTAGGACTCTCTGGGGGACTCTCGAATGAAATTATGTAGGATGCTCAATTTGATATTCCGCTCTGATTAATTCTTAGTGGTTGCCGTCATCATCGAATATCACCCTTGGGACACACACTCGCATTCGCACACAACTCTGAATGGCCGGAATTCTCGCACATGTTTCAGTTTGGCAATTATCTAAGGAAATCAAATCAAATCATTGATGCAGCTGTTACGCAAGAGGGGGATGATGGGTGATGGGTTCCGGGTACTCAGTACTGAGTGCCTAGTGGTGGTGACCGATGGACAATGCCATCTATCAGTCTATCTGGGGCGTGGTCCAAACTCTGTTACCATCCGCATCTGTTCGGGAAAATTGAGCAATAGGTAGAGAACAGTGGTGGTATCGATGACAACCAAAAATGTCAGTGCAGCAAATTATTTCATCAATTGCAATGCTCGATTTCAGTGCGTCGGGGATGCTGGTGAACTGAAGGTGGTTCTGTCTGTCCTGTCCCGCTTTTGGGTAATTGATATAATGCCAATGGGTTCCTGTATTCCTATCAGACTCCTGTCCTTTCCTCGCCCACCTAATGGCGTCGAACTGTCAACGGGATTTGGATTGGATTGGGATTCAGATTGGTATGGCAATTGGGATTTTGGGCAGTGGGTGGTGTGTGGTGCTGTGTGGTGTCTGTAATGTAATGCAATACCGTGTGGCATCGCCAATCACCATTGCCATAATCATCATTATCATTAACGCAGCCGAACAATTGTCACACTAATTTGCGCATATGTGCAAAAATGTTTGACAATTAAACGCCGCAGCCAAGTCCCAGTGATCATTTTTCATTCTCGCAAGTAATTAATGTCTTTTGTTAATGGTAATGCATTTGCATTCGCAATTGGAATTATACCCCAATTCAGAGAGCTAAGACAATTTGCACAACAAAGGGCGGATTGTGGAATGCTGAAGGATGAACTTCATTAAAATTTTGCACGGCCCGGCGCGGGATTTTGGATTCGAGATTGGGATTGGGAAAATAGAGAGCAGCAGCTGCTGCATTAAAATTCCTGTCCGGGATTTGCTCTTTGGTCTTGAATAATTATTCATTGTCATTGTAATTGGCGTGCCAGGCGCTAAATGGAATCATAAAAGGAGGAGCGGCAGGGGCAGTGACAGAAATGGGAAAAACTCTGCCAGGGCCCACAATTTTCATTTTTCCACCAGCCACCAGCCACCAAATTGAAGTTGCTCGATTACTTGGACACTTTTTTTGCTCCTGCTGCTGCTGCCTCCCACATGTCGGTATATATTCTTTTCTATTTTTTGTACTGTCCTGGAGAAAGAGCGATTACTCCCCATGGGTCTCGGGATTGGGATTGGGTTTTTGGTCTCGGTTTTGGTCTTGGCTTTTATATTGTTTGGGACACGTACGGGAATTTTCATTCGATGTCATTTCAATTTTCCTGTGCTCCTTCTTCTTTTTTTATGGACGCACAGAGACAAAAAGGGTTTCGATTGGAAAAGATGCAGCTAAAACACAAGGACCTGACATGGGATTGCGTTTCTATCGCCGCCTGTCCATGTCCCTGTCCCTGTCCCTGGACACTCTATCCTTTGGGCCTTTGTTTTCTTGTTGGTCACTGAGCAACAAATTACCTGAGGCAGGTGAACAACGGCTGCAGCAAACCAAAGGACTCACTGCTCACTCCTTGGGTGTGGATGAAGGAATGAATAAATGAATGAGTGCCCAAAAGGGGGTAAGGGAATGTGCGAGTGCAAGGCTGAGTGACTGCTGATTGAGTGAGCCACCTTGCCAGCTATTTTTTTAAAGAAAGGAATGGAAGAAATAAGCCTTATTTTAAAGCAATTAAACAAGTTTGTTACAAAACAAACAACACAACAATCAAAGAAAGTTAATATATATAAAACGTATATAAAAGCATGGAAAGACATTAGTTTGTAATGCAGTTAGATTAGAGAAACATATTGCATATTAATAAACTTTAAATTCTTGTAATGTCATTAAATATTTAATTGTTTACTACATTTCCACCCCGTATTTGTTCTTCTAATTGCAGGTAAGCTCATTACGTCAATCCTTTTTAACACACCACAAAAGCGGCAGAATCAACAACAATAATAACTAATGTTGGCGTAAGTGCTTGTCTACAATTTTAATTAGTTTTAAATGCAATTTAATGCATTTGTTTTTTTGTTGTGTTGTGGGTAGAGTGTGTGTGTTTTTTGTGCCATGTTTTGGTTGGCAAAATGCTGAAGCACTTAACATTATTTCAGACTCAGGCTGCATTGAATTTAAATTTGAAAACAATAAATCATTTCTACCTTGTGATGATAAATGCCGTGAATAATTTTATGCAGATTAGTGTGGGTATATGGCTCACATGTGTGTGCATTCCCGTACAATTAGAAATGCATTAAATATTTAAAAGTCAGCCACGGATTATTGCTTAAAATAAATATTTATGTTATGTTTGCATTCGCCTGGTTATATGAACTCTTCCGTATAGAGCATACATGGGCACTCCTTGGCTCCCAGAGCTCCGCGGGCACATACTTTCGAGTATATAAACTTTATTTATTTCACCAAATACATATGTCCTTGGGCTTTACGTTCTTTTACGATTCGCCATAAAAAAGGGGTGACACATACGACATTTTCGAGAAAGACTTTATTCCCTTAGTTTTATGGCTCATTTGGAGTTTGTTTTTCAGTTTCCGCCCCTCGCATTGAATGAAAACAACTCAATTTCTGTAATGACCACGCCTTGCCGATAGTTAAACGCTTCGGACATAACTATTCACAAAAAAGAAACAAAACGAAAGAAAATCAATCAATGTAAAATGTGGGGAAATCCTCCGCCCTTCTATAAAGCTTTAAGGCGTGTCCCTGCCACGCCCACCGCCGCTGCCGCCGCCGCCGCCTTTTCCGCCGATTCGGCAATCAAGCTCATTTATTATGCATTTTTCATACGAGTATGATGGCGTTATTCCTCCATTTTATTTCGGCGAACTCTGTGCAGACAATTTAAAATCAACCGCAGAAAAAGCAGCAGCATGGCTGGGAAATATCCTGCGAGTGTGGAAGGAGCGCCAGAGGATGCCAGTCAGAGTTGCCTTCATGCGCAAGGACAACCGTGACAACCGACGGCAAACAAAATCGATCGCAAAAATCCACGCACATACACAAATTACCCGCATTTTTTGTTTATGGGAAAAATTGAAATTCATGCAGAAGAGCCCAGGCCAGGCCAGCCCTTCATCATCCGTGTCCATATCCATATCTGCCAGAATATATCTAGCTGCAATCCATATCCCTGTCGTATCGCTGTCATCAATGGCCCCCTAACAATCTGGCGATAAAGGCGATTCTCCTTGAACAGTTGTGGTCGGAAAAATAGATTCGATTTAAAGTCGCGCTTTTTGATTTGAACTACTATATTGAAAAAGTAATATATTGAAAATTGCATACAAAATAGGTATGACTAAAATGGGGATACATAACTTTAAAGAATCTAGTTTTAGCTGAGTTTTTAGTATGAATACAAGCAAAGATCGAACAGAGAAATTAGATGACTCGCAAGGAAGTACCTTACTAATGTAACTTAAGTTAAGTTAAGAGATAGTTTTTAAATCGTTTCCTATGCAAGTTTACCTAGAACTAATATTGCACTAACTGTGCAGGTGCAAGAGAAATTAGATATCATTTAATATTATGTGATTATTAAATCGTTTTATGATTCGTAAAACATTAAATCGTTTTCTATATAAACTAGACTAATAATAAATGTTGTACTTACATTACAGTTACAATCAAAGTAGATTAACTAATTTTCATGTATTAAGATTTTTCTCTCAGCTTCCCTAATAGTTCGACCATCGCTGTTATTGGTTGCAAGAATTGTTTCCTTTTTTTTTGGGGGAAAAATGTTGAAGAGTTACAAAAAGAGTTTTATTTTTTGGCGAGGGTCGCTTTGCTTGTTTACCTGGCCCCGAGGGTGGCCACATGCACATTTGCATATCGCTTCAAGTGCAAAGCATTCGGGGGCTGGGGTTGCGCACAAGTTGAGTAGGCGT